GGACACCTCCACGGTTACAACAGACCCAACACGGACAAAACAAGCACCCGGACACAGTCTGACGGGAAGGAGGGAAACTCAAACTGCTGAGAGGAGAGAGAAAGAGAGAGAAAGAGGTGGAGAGAGAGGTGCAGAAATGGGCTTCCTCCACAGCCTGCAAAGAACAGTGTGAGAAACACTGGCGAGGAGACGCTCACGGAGTCGAGGCCATGGAAGGAGAGGGTGCAACTGTCGCGTTGGCCAGGCCCCGTGGGACATTTCGTATCAAGAACAGCAGGAGGGGACCCACATCTCTCCCCCAGCCGTGCCCAAACACAAACCCTGCAAAGGGACAGCTTCTGATGGGCACAAGGGCTTCAGAGCCACCAGGTCACAGCTGCGGCTCACGTCAATGTGGATGAAGTTTGCCCTGAGAAAGGGATGCTCTGCCAATGGTCCAGGCTGTTGGAAGAGCCCTGTCCTCCCTGCACAAAGTCTTTGCCCCACGCAGGGACAACGTGGCCACAGTGGAAGCCAGTCAGCCGCATCCCAGCTACGCACAGCCCCGTGGTGGGGTGCCCGAGGGCACCGCAATGCCGTGCCGGGGCCACTGGCCACAGGATCGTTGCACCCTCTCCCAGGACAACGAGGCGAGAGTCCCGCCGGAGCAGCAAAGAGCACAGACTGATGAGAAGAAGGAAGGAAGGAAGGAGGAATGCTCAGTAGTTAGTGTGGTGCTGGTTCAAAGGATGGAGAGGCTGGTTACCTTTGTTGCGATTTTCGGGGGCTCCGGTTTTTTTACCTGTTCAAAGAGAGAAAGGGTGGAGGGCTGAGCACATGGACTCACGTTCACCATCTGGCTGGTGGGACAGCCCTGCTCCGAGGGGCCACGCACCGCTCCAGCGGCATCCGTGCGCAGAACTCAGCACCCTGTGGTCACCCTCCAGACACCACGCGTGCCTTGGTCCACAGCTCATGGCTCCAGGACAGCTCCGGAGCTTCCTGGCTCCCCCAGGCACCCTGTCCCCAAGGCTTCAGACTTCCCCACCTGCAAAGCACCCGCTACAACCCCTGTCAGTGCTTCAAAGGGTGCCAGCGGTGTCTCAGACCTCCGGAGAGCAGAAACCATATGGCAGAGCTTGACCTCCATGCAGCATGTGCCCAGCACCGCTGCTCCCAACCTCCCGCTGCCGTCGGGTGCGAGCAGATGTGCCTATGAGGCACAGACTTGTCCCCCACTGTGGGCAGCACTACACCCATAGTGGGGGGCTCTGCCCCCCATATCTGTGGTGGGCAAGGTCTGCATGAGGGGGTCCCCAACGTACCTCCACAACGCGGGCTGCTGCAGTCTAAGTAAGCCTTGAGTGATAAGGGGTTTACGCACCCTCCCCCCGTCATCCCCCAGCACCGTGGTGGGGGTGAACTGGTGAAGCCCCCTGCCCCACCTTGCTCCCAAATCAAGGGCAGCAAGGCACAGAGCTGGGTTTGCTGTGGGGGCTGAGTGACAGAGCTTGAAGGCTGGTAAAAACCGAGCACCGTACCTGGGTGCCTGGCGAGATGCTGCTCAGCTCCAACAGCCGCCCTGTTCCTACGGCTCACCCCATACTCCCACCTCCACGCTGGCAGCTAAACCCCAAGAGCCCCACAGCCACCCAGCCCCAGCGACACGAGCCAGCCGCCCACCCCGGCTGAGCAGAGCTGGAGAAACCCAGCGCAGATGCGGCCCAGAGCCGAAACAGCTGCCAGAAGAGCCCTGGCCAGCCTCTCCCCGCCTGGCATCACCTCCCGGGAAGGGCTCCCCGGCACAGGGACGCCAGCCGGCGGCTCCCCCCTGCCAGCTCCCTGCACCTCACAGCTGCTCCCAGTGAGCCCCAGCCTGGCGGGGACACGGGGCAGAGCAGGAGCTTCCCAAGCCTGGCTTGTACTGATGCTGGTTTTAAAGCTGGTATTGGAGCTGGCACAGCGCAGGGGAATAAGCAGCAAGATGCGAGAGCTGAGGCAGGAAAGCATTCGAGTCCCAGCATGAGCAGGGACACCTCAGCCTGCCTGGCTGCTCCCCTACCCTCCACCCCTCAGCACACGACCCCTCCTCTGCGCCTCGTCTCCATTCCCAGGGAGCTCAGGGGACGCCAGCAGAAACCTTCAGCAAAGTCCTCAACGTTCTGGATGGGCTACTAACATCCTGCAGACAACCAGGACTCACCTTCCCACCGCGGAGCGGGCAATGAGCACAATGAACACTGCAGGGCATCGCTCTCAGCCACTTTTCCCTCTGAGCCTTGACTGCCCCCCCCCCCCCCCCCCCCTCCCCGTAACTCCAGGCTGCAGCCAGCTGGAGAAGAGATTTTTGAAGCGTGTCCGAAAGAGCTGAGGGGTGGGTGCACAGGGGCTTTCCTCAGGCAGCACGATCCCCACCCCGCGGGCGAAGGGGCAGCAGGGAGGGTTCCCCCCCACCGCCTTGACAGCTCACCGTACCTGCCTTGGTCATGGGCACTAACACACAGCCGCGTCCCACAGATGTGGGTGCAGCTTGTTGCACACCGGTGGATGCTTCCCAGGAAAGGGAGAAAGGCAAAAGGAGGCAAAAAATAGGTTCAGTGGATCTCCTCACCTTTCTTCACCTTCTTTTCCTCGTCTCCTTCTCCCGCACCCAAGAGAGTGAAGATGATTCCTGTCTGGGAGTTGATACCCACAGCAGTCACCACCATCCTGCCAGAGCCCTCCATCACGTGGGTACCTGGCACAGCAGGAAGGGCACGGTGAGACAGGACACTGGCACGCAGTTCCCATTTCCTCCCCAACACCAGGACACAGGACCTGGAAGCAACCATCTCTCCATCATGGCACAAATCCATCCCAGCCCTGCACCCACCACGGGATCCTCACCCGACAGCAGCATGGGGTCTTTATCCAGCGATTTCTTGACTTGGTCTGACTCCCCAGTCAGCGAGCTCTCATCTATCTTCAGGTCATTGCCCTGGATCAGGATCCCGTCTGCTGGCAAGAGATCCCCTAGGAGAGGAGCAGAGAGGGGGGTCAGCCCCAGCCCGGGCAGCTGCAGCTCACCCCTGCCTGCCCCAGCCCAGGAGGAGGCTTCGTGTGTCAGCAAAAGGACTCCAAACTCAGTCTCAGACCAAATCTAGAGGGAGAAGCAGCAGCAGGTGGGTATTATAAGACAGGTGGGTATTATAAGATGATATCCAATAGCTCCAAAATCTTCACTCATGTACGAAAGTGTTCGTTGTGAGGACTTTTGCTTAATCAGACAGCGCCTCCCCCACCTGGTTTTACAGAATCAATACCACATCCTTCCCAAAGCCTCCTGATACATCCAAACCATTACACAATCCCGTCATCTACCTGCCGAGGAAGGAAAAAACATGAACACCATGTTGGAGCAATCTCCTTCCTGACAGAAGCTGCATGGGATGAGCATACCCCCCAGTAAATAAGGAGCAGGACCTAGTTTAGCTCAAGGGCAACATCTCCTTGCTAAGGAGATGTTCACCAACAAGGACACAGTTGTGAAAATGAATCATTTTTGAGACCAGCAGATCGCTAAAGCAACCCAAAGTTGTGTGCAGAGCCTGGCTTAGCTCTGCCAGCTCAGCTGCGGGCTGGCAAGCAGCAAGGCGAGCAGAGCTCCATCACCTGCACGGGAGCATTTCCCACCACTCCCGGCCACGGGATGCAGCAAAACAGAGTAACTGGAGGAGCCACGCTTCCCCTCAAGGCAAAAGGGGAGAGGAGGCACCACCGGGCTCCCATGCAGAGGGACAGATGCCAGCCACCGCCACCTCCACTCACCGTACTTGATCTGTGCGATGTCTCCCACCACGATCTCGGCCACTGGGATCTGAATCACCTGCCCTTTGCGGATGACCGTGAACTTCTGCTCCTGCTCGATGCGGCTCTGGAGGCCCCGGAATTGCTTCTCCTTGCTCCAGTCATTGAAAGCGGTCACTAGTACCACGATGATCACCGAAAACAAGATAGCTGCCCCCTCAATCCAGCCAGCCTGCGACTCGCCCTCGTCCTCCACGCCACCCGTCGACTGGCCACACACTGCGGTCGGACAGAGAAAACTCGTTTGTACAATGAGACACTCAAGTAACATGTGCAGAGCAGAGCCTGGAAGACAGCTACTCCTCCCTGAGCTGGTCCAAGGGCTTCCCCTGCTCTCAGAAGAGGGTTTTTACATCCCTGGAGGCATTTGTTGGGTTGGGTTTTTTTCCCCCCCTCTTTTTTTTTTTTCACTTTTCATTTTTGGCAGAGGTTGGGCTGAGAGAGCCTGGGTGGGAGCTGGGACAACTGGCTTCTATTTCCAGCTGCAGCACCCAGCCCTCCTTCCACTGCATGACCCTCGAGTGAGTCACCGTCTCCCTGCATCTCCAGATCCCTGCTCCACTCCAACAATACCAGAGCCAGGGACAGGGAGCAGACACTCGCCCAACGCCAGTGCTGAGCCGCACGTGAGGCATCATGGCTGGAGAGAGCACGCCCTGGCTGGGGGAGGTACCAGGGACATGCTCAAACCAAAAGAGAAGCCCCACAGGACATGGGAAGCCACCAGACCAGACAGACCACTTGGTCTTTGAGCATCTTTTGGGGCAGTAGCAAGGAGCAGCTCTGAGCCATGCCGTGGTGCCAGCTGCACCCAGACACGTCCATCAGCGCAGGTCCCTGGACGTGGATGGGACTGTGTGCCAAGGACCCCAAGAACAGGGAGAAGCCACCACCTAAAGGGTGAGCAGAAATAACTCCATCTGCACCGGGGTGGAGGGACCCACAGGGTGACCCTCCAGAGACAGCACCCATCCCAAAGCCCGGCTCCTCCGGGCACAGCAGCTCACATGGGTCCCCCATCCAGCACCCCATCGTGCCGTGGGGACCCCAGGGACTCACGTTCATTGTCACCGCCTGGAGGGTGGTAGAAGGACAGGCCCAGGGAGATTATGGCTGCGATTTCCAAGATGATCAGCGTGACGTCCTGGAGCGCCTCCCACACTAACTGCAGGAACGTCTTGGCCTTTTTGGGAGGAATAAAGTTCTGGCC